ACATATATTTCGATGCTTATGCATCCAATGAAAAATGAAACAATATGAAAACCAAATATAGTTGAAACTACAAATCTCATTACAGCTGAAAGTAATTTTTGAAGTTCAAAAGAAGTTTGGGATGATGTGATGATTATTATTTCTAAAAATGTCACAACACGAATCATACGTGAGCTGTCACTGTCATGTGTGAATCAGACGAAGAATTCAAATAACCATGATTTTCGATATGGAAACATTTTTTGACGAATCGAAACAATTGCAGTTATGGCGGTCGATACGATATGAATTTACCAGTTCAATGGTTGTTCAATGGTATCATGTGCGTTACTCATAAGGTTTGAATATTTCAAAATATTTCACTGTTGGCGTTCCTTCCAAAGCAATCTCCGCAAAAAAGGACTTCTCAAAAATGCAAAAATTCAATACCTATAAGCGCACATAAGAAAAAAAAGTTGAGTGTTGTAACTTTGGCATCAAGAACGTCATAGAAAATACGATAACAGATTCAGATTCCTTGTGAAAAAGTGCCTCGAGAATGTCCTATTCAGAAACGGCTAAGTCTCTTGGTTTTTGCTTGAAAAAATAAAAACGAGAATTTGTAATTTTCCTTTTCTTCAAATAATTCGAAAACTGAAAACGACACATCGAATTTTCTTGCAGATAAATGTTCAGCATAAAAATGCGCAACTTAGCTCTAATTCAACCGACCTCGTATCTCTTAAAATAACTGAGATCCTCATGATGGAGCTCGAAAAACGGGCACCCTGTATAGATAGCAACACCGCGGATATAATGCATATAATGCATATTTGTACGTCTTCACCCGAAATTATTCATGGCCAGGGGCACTGAAACAACCTGAATCGTGATCCGATATGACACACCATCTTGCTTCTAGTTGATAATGAATGAGTGAAACTCATTTCGTATTCAAACCCAGAACCAGAAATACCTTCAGAGTATGTTTACCCATATCCAATTCAACCATATTTGTTTGGTCACGTAGCTACAAGTATGAAATTTACGACAGGACACCCGGTATACTATTACACTTGTTACGTCATAACAACCGATGAGAGCAAGAATTCACTTCCACCGTCAATCAGAATTCTATAAAATAGATAGATAGATAGATAGATAGATTTATTTGTCAACTTCACAATTAACATTTTTGCTGCAAGTCAAGTGTTTGAAAGGAATCAATACAAATATGAAAAAATATGATTGAAATCCGCTGAAAATTAAAAACGTATAACATCGATGGTATTCAGACCAACATACACAAAAAAAAATCATAGAATTGTATAAGCCTAACAAATACAACATGAATATGAATAAATTAAAAACATATGTATCTATAAAAAATAACAGCACTCTGGCAAGATAAAAAAGTGTCTCCATGAATCATGAGAAATCTGTGTTCAGATATTCCTGATCACTATAAAAACACCTAGATGATGTCATTTTTAACTTGAACGATTCATAGTTCAGTACTCTGATTTGATCTGGTATATGATTGTAGAGCTTCAAATTCAGTGAGTTTTTCTGTGACTTTGTCAATCTGTATCTTGGCTGAATGATGCCTAGAGAACAGCGATCTATTCTTGTGTATTTCAAGAACAGTATTCGATATAAAAAGAGATGGTGAGGGTCATATACCCATTTTTATGAAAAGTGGTTCACAGTGGTCTCTGAACTCTGCGTTCATCATAATTCTGATTACCTTTTTCTGTTGCTTGAAAATTTTAATAGCATGAGATGAGTTACCCCATAGGATTATACCATAGTTTATGTTTGAGTGGAACACGGCGAAGTATGCACTTTTCAGGACATCGATGTTCAAGATTCTTTTGAGTTGTCTAAGAGCAAAAATGCACCTAGAAAGTTTACTATTTAACTCTTCAATATGGTCTGACCAGGATAGGTTTCCGTCCAGAATTATACCAAGCAATTTTCCATTTTGATAATCGGCGGTGGTGTTATTTCTAGAGAAAGTGATTCCTTTTGTCTTCTCTTCATTTAATTTCAATTGATTAGCTGTAAACCATCGCGAAGCCTGTTTGAGTGCTTCGTCTTAATTGTTCAAGAGTTTCTCGATATCTCTACTATAGTTCACACTAAGGAAGTATCGTCTGCGAAAAGAACACATTTACCAGGAGACATATATTTACCAAAATCATTCACATATACAAAAACAATATTGGCCCCAATACAGCACCTTGGGGGACACCATGTTTGACCTTTCTGATGCTAGATAATGTATCGTTCACATACACCGATTGAGTTCTGTCCATTAAGTAGTTAACTTCCCAGGTCTGAAACCATACTGTTGCTGACTGAAAAGATTATTTGATGCAAAATAACGGACTAACCTGTTCTTGAGAATTATTTCTAAAATCTTACCCAGAACTGGGATAATTGAGATAGGACGGTAATTGTCAACAATCGATGTATTTCGTTTTTTCCATAGCGGCAGAACTTTCACGTATTTGAAGCAGTCTGGGAAACATCCTGACGTTATACATGAGTTGAAAAGGAGGGTGAGTGGGTCAATTATTGTGTAGATAATCCCTTTTATCATTTCACTAGATAAATCATAGCAATCCAAACATTTCGAATTATTTAGTGACTTTACTGCTTCTATTATTTCCGGTGCTAGAAAAAAACAATTACTTGACGGTGGACTGGAATCAAGTGAGTCAGAGGAAGTTTCTGCCGCAAGAGGTAGTGAAGATATATAAATAAAAAGAAGAGCTACATTTGGACACTGATAACCCATAATTATCCATCCCCATTTAGCGGATACTGCGGATACTCAAAGTGAAGTATATCTTCAGATTATTAAATTGTGTTATATCGGCACCCAAGAATTCAGTGTGAATACTAACTAGGTTCTACTTTTTTGAAAGGTTTATCTAGTAATCTTTCCAAAGTTAGTTATATGGTGATAGATTGTGTTATGAGGAATGAAATACCAAATGGGTTGGTAGTCACATTGTATAATGATCTCACAACAATACATCAGATAATGTCGTATTCGTGGAGTAAATTTCAGATTCACTGCAAATTATTCCATGCGAATTATTTTTGTTATTTGTGTGAAATGGTACCAAACATAGCTGTTTTCGTATTTATATCGTCCATGCTTGATATATACTTATTACCAAACAAAAATCAAGAGAACTCAAGTGAATGAATGTCTGAGAAGACAAGGAAGAGTCAAAAAGAACGCCATAAAGAATGAAAAGTGTAGATTAAGTCAAAATGTTCAAAATAATATTGCCAAAAAATGTATATGGTAAATGACAATCAGAAATATTCTTCATTTTACTTGGTTATTTGGGATTTTTTCTCCTCGTTTCTATATAATATGAGTATTATTTCAATTAGGAAGCCAAAAATGAAAATCTAATATCTTGTCAGTGACACTTCGTTCGAAAAAAAAAAACACAAGAAATATAGGTAGATATATTGAGAAAATATCGAATTTGTACTCATCTTTGGACGTTACGGCAACGAATCTGCTTCCGTTCTGAACATCTGTTCTTGTTTGACACTTCTGTGTCATACTGATGTTGGCAAATGGATGAGTGATAATGCTAGTATATAAATGGGTTACATGATGTTTTCGTTAATTCATCTTGAATCTACCATTTTCATGTTCAGTTTTAAGTAGTGAATACCATGTTTTATCAATATCAACTGAATAGGAAGCAATGCTATTGTCTCCGTTCAGAAGAGTGCAAGCGGATTCCTTGATATTTATCTTTTGGTTGTTATCTTCCTTTTCCGTGATTTCGATACTTAATAATCAAGTGAAATGAATGTAACACCTCCTCGATTAACCTACAGACAGTATTTAGAAATATTCTTGCTTCGTCTGACAATGGGTCTGACAGAAGTAGAGGAAAACATCAGCGTATTTTATGATGGTTCGTATTAGTCACGTCTTGAAATCTTGTGGATTTCTTCTTGTTTATACGTCCATGATTTCTTCAAACATTTAGAACATTTACATCATTTAATTGTATGTACCTTGAATGTCAGCAATTTTTGAATTTTTGTTCATACACACTCCACCAGAATCAAATAATATGACTGGGATTTGAATTTATGAAAATACCCACGTACAACCCCGTGTTCTAGTGGGATCTTTGTTTATTTGCAAATCATCTGATTTTTTTTTACCTGTAAGTAGGAACTTTATTTTGATCACTCCCACCATTGATTTTTTTCCTTTTTATGTATCATTTGTGAATGTGATATGATGATGTTGTCATGTCATCGCCATCTAGTGGCGTTAGTTCTAAGATAGGGCCTTTCAGGCACGTCATATACAGCATATGACACTGCAATCTATATTCAAAATGTGGAGACCCTTACTCCTTAACATTACAAAGTGCTACTAAAAATGAAACACTCTGCTGACAGATGGCACTACCTGACTACTTGAGTGAAAATTCCACCAAACCTATCCATTGAACTAGATCTCACAACTAAGAGATCTAGGATGAACAGAGTGTCCCCCATTGTCAGCAGGAGCGAGACAGTATACTTTTTGGTGGTCAGCTAAGGCTTGTGGTTGAAGCGTCAATATCCTATCCACGTTAGATTGCCGGTAGATGGGTTCGATTCCCACCACGACCGCAGAAATTTTTCTGAATGACACTTTAAAAGGTGAGACCCCCGTCATTCCTTGCTCGCACAAGTCTCTTGAAGACATCTGAGGGTTGCTCGTAAGGGGGCAACCGAATGATGAATAAGAACAATTTTTTTAGGACAATGCTTGCCTTGCAATATTCCACAATAGGAATGGCTGCTGCCTAGGTAGTTTCGGTGAGCGTAGGGACGAAAGTCTATGATATCAACTGACCGGAACGAAACTTCCCAGTATTGGATGGTTTAATTTGGAAAAACTAATTGACAATAATTGAGAATATAGAATCTGATGAAATCGTCAAAGTTATATTTCATGGTTCCTTTACAAACGTGACAATATGATAGGCATCTTTGTGTTTCTTTTTCAAGGGTCGGAACAAGGTCCTCACGAGAAGCTTCTGCTCAACAACTTGCTAGCAGCATACAACGTTCTGGAGAGACCTGTCGCCAATGAGTCGGAGCCCTTGGAAGTGAAGTTCGGCCTAACGCTGCAGCAAATTATTGATGTGGTCAGTATGGATTCGTTATTCATAGATCGGTTGACGTTTAGTTAGGGCCCACATTGGACTGAGTAACTCGCGACCGCATAACCTGACCCCAATAAGTTTCCAGTATAGGTGGGTATCGTATTCGAACCATATACAGGGCTGTCATTTTCATTTAGAAACTAGGCCCTTCAACAACGATCTATTATTAGATTATATCTGAGATTCGATACCAATATCGATTGGATGTTATTGGGAATTTGAATTGTATCACCTAAGTAAAAATCTATAATAATCCTTCCATATGAGAATAGGTATAATATAAAATGGGTTAATCCGGTTGGGAGTTGAAGCCAGAAGTATTTCGATATCAACAATTTTTTTTGCCATGCAAACTTAATATTGCAAGTTCGAAAATGAGCTACATTATTGTGGAATAAAAGGAATAAATCAGTGAAATAGATTGACTGACTTGATATAGCGCAGTGATAATTATCATATTTTTGAACATGCAACTTTGAGTTTTACCGGCGATAAAATTGACCGTACTATACTTCTATGAGCTCTAATAACTAACGAACTAAGCATGGTGATATGATAATTCCACTCATCATCCTTATCCTTCAATTTGTAGAAGGGGGGCTAGTTTTTGAATGGAAGCCGTATAATGTACAGGGTGGAGACTTTGGCTGGAATAAATTCGGTATAGCGTGGAGGTTAATAATCTCTATGAAAATCCGCGAGACACGCCAACGTTTCAATGTGTTTACCTACATTTTGCAAGCAATATTTTTTCTGTTTTTTTATCGCTTGGAGCGCATCAATGGGAATATAACTCTCCAGGGGTAGCTCAAATGCAACCCTATGGCTTGAGACCCCTCCATTGGAAAGCTGGTTGGAGTTGAAACAGGAATCCATCGTATTGATCAGTTCAATTTCTATTCTTAGTGACAGTGATATAAGGCATTTTCACCATTCCTCTTCACCATCAGCTTTCCAATCAGGGGTCAGAAGCCATAGAGTTGCATTTGAAAAAGACATGTTGAAGGTGGTTTCAGCTACCCCTGAAGAGATATATTCTCGATATAGCTTGCAAAAGTTAAGTAAATCCAGTAAATTGTTGACGTATGTCGTGAAGTTGCAGAATAAAAATGCACCTCTTCGCTAGCGAATTTATTCTAGTGAAAGGCTCCACACAGTTTTTTGGTCTGCGATCAATTTAATGAAAGTTACTCAGTTCAATCGTGTATTCAATTTTTTCCAAGCTTCTGGAAGAAAAGGTTCATCAAAATAACTTGAATTTGTTTTAACTTGCGACAAAGAATCGACTACGCAGAATAGTTACAAAATATGACACTTACCCACTAGAACGTACAGAGTCGATGTCATTTATTTTTATTCTTCTGCTCCAGCCTTAAGATGGATGTAATGGCTGAGGTAGCAAATTTCTATTCCATATTCAAGTTGGTAACTGGAGGCACTAAATCGTATGGGAAACGGACAGTGTTCTAGTGCTACAAAACTGGTTCGATTCCATAGCGTACGGACGAGAACTTAGGCTATGCCATTGGAAAGAAAATATATTCAAAGTGGGCTGAGTCAATAAACTGAAAATGGAACGAATACATTGAAATAATTAAGTAATTTGGCATGTGGCCTATTTGCTGGAATATTTTCAGTTAAATTTCACTTCTTAAGTGTTGGATTGACTTGAAATTTTTTTCGTTGCGATTCTTTTGGCAGCAAAATCGAAGAGAGGTTGACAATTGTGATGGAGTATCAATAGTTTTCAGACGATCTCCAAATACTCTGAGTGTTTGCATTATCTGATTATTACTAATCGATTTCGGCTTGTCAACCATTTCAATAAGGTAATTTGATAGTTTGCCAATCTCTCGGAAACTCCGAGCTTCACTATGTGTTTAGTTCTTAGCCTGATCACCATACATCTCAGTGTAACTGTCAAAAAATAATAAATTAAGGTGCGTTCCAATCGATGAAAAAAAAAAATTTAATGTGCCCCCCTTGAAGATAAAATTGACTTTCCTTTTAAATTCTCCGTATTATTTACTGAAAGGGGGTTATTATGGGTGAGAAGATTTCAGATTGACATCATTTCATTGTATATATATGCGTTTTGAAAAATGATATAGTCAAGAAATCGGATAGGGTTCCTGAAGCTAGAAAAATGTCTGTTTCCTACACGATTTTGTGACTTTGGCCGCCAACTTATATATGGGAAGTGAAAATAAGCAAATGGCAATGATGTGGTTGAAGGTCGTGTCAGCAGCTGTTAATCTTTGTTTATTTATTCGCAGTAACGTAATGTACTCTTTTAACTTCCTAAATGATCGTTATCAAGATACTTCAAAGTCTGGAATGAACACAGGTTGATGCAGGTACATCGTGAACACACCACGGACTTTTAAAGTGTGTTCCAGGGTTGTAGTAGCAAAAGCCTGAGGAAGATATCATGGAAAAAAGTGTGAACATGGGTTTGAAAATGAATTTTCTGAAAAAGTGAGTTTTTAATAATTGCTCTAGAACGCTTCAAATTTCATCAGACATCTACTGGTCCGATTAGATTCATTCCCAAATTCTAGGGTTTGATCCATCTGGCGAAGTAGTTTTTTTTGTAGAAAAAATATCACTGTAGTTTTTGCTGTTTTCATCAATAATCATTCAAGTGAACACATTGAAATTACAAATATTTGGGTCTTGAGTTTTTTTGAGGTCTTGCTTCGCTTCCGGGAAATAATAATATGTCATACGTCGACACGAGCTCAATGAGGAAAAAAAATGTTCGGGAATTATCCAAAAATACATCGCAGTGTACTTATTCATGACTAGGAAATGATCGTAGGAAAAAATTTTCATTTCTAAGTATCATAATTATCATCGAAAATGCCGGAATTTATATTCTTCATTTTCATACAGAAGATTATTACTTTAACAAATTGAAAATTTACGAGTAAATTTGCATTTTATATGAAATTATGTTTTTAGACGAGAAAAGTTTTTTGACATTTCGTCTATGTTAATGACAGGTTACAAAATATCACTTATCATTCATTACTTTTTTCTACGGGAAAGTCTCACCTCCCGTCTTCTATAGCTCAGTTAGAGAAGAGGGGGAGAGAGAAAGAGAACAGGAATATTGTATTCATAAAGGGTTTATTTGAATGATTGATATGAACCGTAAAAAACTGCAGAGTGATTTTTTTCCTGAAAAAAACAGCCGACTTGTTTGACTCGTGCAAAATTCTTTGAATAAATGGAAATTAGATAAAAACCGCTGTGGATGGAAAGATATTAGGACTTATGTTGATATAAAATGTTTTCCATATGGAGAACAATCTCTCCTATAGGCTTACACTCTGAAACACCCTGTAATGCATTCCATGTACAAGACGAATGACCCTCAACCACACTAGTACCGCCACGCGGAAGCAATATCGGCCATCCCTGCCATATTCCAAATTTTAGGATGATTTGGAATCGATCAATTATGAGAAACCAATCTCAGCTCTATCAATCTTTTTTGTTGCCAAGCTATCGAAACTCGATTGTCTGTTGCATAACCCAGTGGCAGACCAAAATTGCATTTTCAATTTAATATTTGATTTCTACGTTTACTTCAACAAAATTTCGATTTTGGAATGTGTATTGAGATATTATTTTTATGATCTTGTATGACGTCCTGAACAAATTTTGGAGTTGACAATATAATTAAGAATTCACAGAAAACATGCCAATACTCTGTGGATGTATGATCTCAGAAAAACAATATAGGCAACAATTTTTTCACTTACCAATTATTTTTCGCGACTCGGAAACATTTGTTTTTCCTGTAACGGGAAAAAAGTTTGACATTTCATCTCTATTGAGTGGGTACATTTTTCCGGGTATAGGAGGTGTCTCAGAGTACCCCAGGAGGTAATTCTGCGGATGAAAATGAGAAAACATGTTCCTATCAACATGTGCCCGAAAATGCTTCCTAAGGTCGCTAAAGCCCTTTGGAGCTAGGTCCTTAAATGCAGTTTTCTTCGATGGGCGAGTGGACTGATGATGAATAATTATTGGCATTCAACTACTCCACTGTATCGTTTGGAACCTGAATTAATCAAAATTGCGTAGTATACGCCGGAATAAATCAGATTTTAGCTCTCGGTTTTTGTCTCGAGCTTAAAACTATATAATACTTTTTTACCGGATATACAGTGTGTCCCAAATTCGATCCTCACCATTGGGATCCCAGTAACTATGAGAGATAGAGAAACGGTTGAATCAGCAAAGTTGTAGCAAATTTAATGTTGAATCAGAATCTATCAAGAAATCCAGGCTAGCTTCAGTCATTCTTGAGTTATTTGAGAAAAAATGAAATCTTGTCTTTGTGTTTTTCTCGAATATCTCGGAAACTATTGATTTTATGAAAAAATTACTTCAACATTCTCATAGCACTTTTTGGTGTTCTTTTCGATGGTTTTGTCAGTTTTCCATCAAAATGATAAATTTCTGAGATATCACTTACAACTTAGGTTTTTCTCATGGACGTCATATTGAATTTTCACAGATTTGAAATCAGCATAAAATTTCCTTTTTAGTGATGTGTCACAGTCACAGTTTTATCTCATGAGGAGTACTGATTTCCAATTTTTGTTTTTATGTCCAGTAGGCTATGCGCTAAACTCTTTATAAACAATAACGATTATGTGTTCTGGCACAACTTCCATAGAGTAGGCTTGGAGCCAAGTGACATTTCTGTAAATGTCAAGAGAAAATATTAATTATTTCGGGGCAAACAATGCCGTTCACAAAAACCAGTGACATTACAAGAGTTAAGACCTGGTGATAATGAACGTCGTCTCGAGTTTTGCCACTGGTTCGTCAACCAGTGTGAAAGAATGGATATCGATATTTCGGAAATCAATTTGGTGCTAAATTAATTACTACTCATGGACCTGTTAGATGGCCTCCAAGGTCGCCTGACTGTGCGCCTCTTGATTTTTACCTGTGGGGCTACGCCAAAAATAAAATTCATGAAGAGCCAATTCAAGATATTGATGATC